TTGATTTTATTGAGGGCCGCATCAGGGTTGTGTTTGACCTCAGGGGGGCTGGAGTGGGCATGGCCAGCTCGACATCACTTGTGTCAGGGTTGCCTTTGGTGGCCCAAGTGCTCTGCCAGAGAAAACAGGCTCCTAAACTCTGTTTTTTGCTGTGATGGCCTCCTGCAACCCTTTGCCAGTTAAAATGGAACTTGGGAGGGTCACAGGTGGCCTGCCCAAGCTCCATTTTCTCTGGCAGAGGTACTGCAGACCAGTCCTTTGCCGTTTCTAAGGTGGCCTCATAAGCCAATCTAAGCATCCCATGGGATGGATCCGGCCCCTGGGCCTTGAGCTTGATACCCCTGACCGAAGGTATGATATATTTAAAATCCAAATACTGAATTTGGTAATGCTCCAAACTGCATTTGCCTTGCCTAGTACTTGGATAATTCAGTCAGTGGCCAATGATAATTTTTAGCTCTTAACTACCAATTTAGTCTTTCACACACTTCCAGCTGGGTGACTTTCAGCTAGTCATTTTCTCTCAGTCCTAGGAAGGAGGCAATGGCAAACCACTTCTGAAAACCTTTGCCTAGAAAACTGCAGGGATTAGTCCAGGCTGTCACCAGGAGTCAATATTATCTTAAAGGCGCACATTTACACCCACAAAAAATTTCTCTTGCCTTAGTTCTGAAAGGTTTTTTTCTTCCTCTTCGCTTTCTCACAATATTAAATGCAGGAGATATGATTTCAGATCTTTTCTGAGGAAGAAAAAGAGCAGAAAGGGCAAAACGTTTGTCCCCAAGGCAGTTTTGTACTTTTTCTTTGCCCTTATTATAAGATTGCTAGGAGGTGCTGAGAAGTAAGCATCATTCAATTTAAACTTCCATCTCTTAGAAAATAAAGAATATCTTTATTAATGTGTTTACTATGTTTTGTGAGAAGAATTTATTCCCTCTGGTTCATTTCTTTTTATTATTATTATTTTTTATTTTAATTGAACAAAAACACACAAAAAAGAATCACCCTTCATTACATCATGTAGAAAGCGTGTTGATTGGTTACAGATAACTGTCGTGCATTTCTTCCACAGTCATTACTTATAGTTCGTATTAGATTATACACTTTAAAAAAATCTTTGTATATCTTACTATCAATGTACCACAATTCTCATTTGACTACAGTTATTTAAACATGCTTTTACCTCAAATCATTCATANCTACACCACTTCAGACAAATGGTTATCCAACATCATCTTAAAAACTTCCAGTGTTGGAGCATTCACAACTTCTGGAGTCAAGTTGTTCCACTGATTGATTATTAAGAGCAATTGAAACAGCAACAGTGACAGGATTGGATAAATGATAAGGCTACAGAGAATCAACTACTACTAATTTCCTTGTATTTAAGTACAATGACAATAAAGATTATATTTTACAATCTAAAGTAGTCAGATGAACCCAAATGTAAACATCGTAAGCAGCTTTTCAATTGCTGTTTGAAATGCTCTTTAACACGCCCTGATTCAGTTTAAAAGATATTGTGAACATAAATGACAACATGTCCTCTGTTTAAAAATTAAAATGATGCCGTGGTTTCAGTCTGCATGTTACACCATCAAGTGGCCTCAAAGTTCCCATATCTAGAATTTTAAAGCTCTGTGGTGGAACCAGCTCAAATTCAAACCTCTGCAGAAATTTGGCCATCAGCACTTTAACTTCCATCTTGCATGAAAACAAAAAACCAAAAGAAGAAGAAGAAGAAAGATTTAATACTTTTACACACAAACACACACACTTTGACTTCTTCATTCAGGGACTAATCATTAGCCCATGGATGAGAGCTTCCCCTAACCCTTACTGTTGGCCATATTGGTGGGGACTGCAAGGAGTTTAACCAATATCTGGAATGCCACAGATTTCAATGCCTGCTCTAATCTTCCAGTCTTTTATTTATCAAATAAATACTTCTTTAGATTTTGACCTCTTTCATAATTTTTAATTACATATAAAGTTTTTTAAAACCCCAATTCAAAAACTGAAGAGATGCATGTTAATCTGACCAATCCAGGCTTCAATGATGAGGTCCATTCAAAACAGAGACTGAGACTCACAGAAAACTGGAATAGAAATTGACAATCTCTCTTAATTTTTTACAACCCTGTTCTAAAAAGGGAATTTACATTCCATTTGTTTCTTTAAAGCAGTGTTTCTCAACCTTGGCAACTTGAAGATGTCTGGACTTCAACTCCCAGCATTTGCTGGCTGGGGAATTCTGGGAGTTGAAGTCCGGACATCTTCAAGTTGCTAAGGTTGAGAAACACTGCTTTAAAAGGAATACAATACCTGGGGAATGGGGAAAAGGAAAGAACACTACAGTACCTATAGTCCTTATTTAATGGTCATAATTGGTGGCTGCTTTTCTTTTCTCCACTTTCCTAGAAATGGTCACCTCAATGCTGGGATATCTGGCTGGCAGCTGCTCACAACTGATGACTAGTAAGTTTTACACCTTCAGTTTTTCTTTGCCTCCTAAAGATTTCACTTCAGCTTCTCCATTCCAGGACTGTGGAATGCTTCTTCTGGCACTGGCATAATTAGCAAGAAGCCAATGCTTCTATCTACATTCACTGAAGAGGCAGGGATTGCAAGAGAGTAAGCAGGCACATAATGGAAGGCACACATTGAAAGGGAAGTGGTGGCATCAGCAGTCCTCACTCCATTATACAAACAGCCCATTATGTGCCTGCTTACTCTCTTGCAATCCCTGCCTCTTCAGTGAATGTAGATAGAAGCATTGGCTTCTTGCTAATTATGCCAGTGCCAGAAGAAGCATT